AAATTTTATTTCCAAAGTTCTTGTGAGCTATCTTCTAAGGTCCAGTCTCTGACAGTAGGTAAGCTCAGTGCTTCGCTTTTGACAGACAATGAGTTCACCAACTCACAGTGAAACTTCCGAATGTGTCTGTAAAGGTCTCCGGACTGCGTGAACCTGCGTTCACACCACTTACAAGCATGAGGCTTCTCCCGCGTGTGAACCACTGCATGGCGGCTCAGGTTGTGGGAGTACTGGAAGCTCTTCCCACACTGGGTGCAAGTGTAGGGCTTTTCACCTGAATGAGTCCTCTCATGACGTTTCAAGGTGTACATGCAAGAAAAAGTCTTACCACACAACGAGCAGGTTGGGACATTGACATCGGTAGCAGGCTTGCTGCGGATCCCGTCCTGCTCTCGAAAGTGCGTGCTTAAATGGATCTGCAGGATGTGGGGGCTAGGAAAGACCTTGTTGCAGAGAGGACACATGAAAATTTGGCCAGCGGGGCTAAGTATGTTTGACACATAAGGGAGCAAGCTGCTGTCCATGTTGCCTTCCACCTGGACTCTCTCATTCTCTGGAGTTATCATTTCGTCATCGCTTGCCTTGTCCTCTCTATCTAGCTCCCTCAAGACCGAATCTTCCCTCATTGGAGCCAGGTGGGCCGGCTCATACTGTACCCTGTTATTAGTGCTCACACTTTCTTTCACAGTGCTATGTTCCATATCATAGTCATTAGTGCCAACATCACTCTCATCACAGGAAGCCTCTTTCTCCACCTTCACCTGAACCAGGCTGCTTCTAAGCATGTCCTGCGAAGAGAAATAAGAACTGTTCAAGTTTTCAACTCCTGAAAGGCTGGACTTGACAGACAGGTCCAGCACGCAGTCAACATCTGCTGAATCCCTCACAGAGGTGACAGACCTCTGGGACAAAGACTCTGTTGAGCTGCAGGGGCTGGCTACTGTTTTTCCAGCTGCTGCTGCGTGCGTCTCTGCCTCTCCGCCAGTCTGGGGAATGCCTGCTGAGTCTGAGGGCAATCTCATCCACATGTTCCCAGGCTCTGCCGCCAAGTCCCTTTTGCTAGGCAGGATGTTCAATTTTTCATCTTCTCCATCGTCTTCATCGCTGGGCAAGTCTCCTGGCATGTGGCTGCTACCGTCGGAGAGGCTCTCCACTTTGTCTGAACAACTTGAAGCATCTTCCTCCTTTTTTGTACTGTCTGCCTCCGTGGTTGCTTTCTCTTTCAGCTTCTTTTTGCAGACTTTGACAATGTCATACATGTGGAGATAACTGGCAGCTGCTAGCACGTCTTCAATGGGCAAGTCTTTGAACTGGAGCTTTCCTTCGTACATGAATTCAAGCAGGAGAGCGAAAGCTGGGGCTGTAACAATGTCGCTGTTCAGATGAACAATGTCCCTTTTGTCCAGCTGGTCCTTGTAAAAGAGGTGGAAATACATGCTGCATGAAGCCAGTACAGCTCTGTGCGCTCGGAACTGGGCATCTCCTACCAGAACAGTGCAATCACAAAGAAAACCCTGATGCCTCTGCTCACTCAGACACTGTAGCAAATGTCTACTGTGGTCAGGAAACTCCATACTGTCTTCATAACCTATAAGCAATAAGATTTTTAAAAATTAAATGTAGGTCGGAATCATGGAACTTACGAATCCAAGTTATTCCACTCCAAAACCCTTGCCTTTATATTGCCAGAATTCTGGTACTGACACCATGCAAAGATTATTTAACATGCATATACAACGGCAACTCTTTCTCTGATCAATCACTGAAGTTCTGACTCCCCTTCCATGGTAAATAAGCCGTTCTAATAAGCGCATAGGTACAACATTTGTAATTTTTTTAAGGTATCATGGCTCTTCATAAAATCTGTTCAACAGTTATTATTTTTTTTTAGGGAACTTCCTCCAGATTGCATCCCTAAGAGGGCAGACACCCCAAAAACATCGATATTTTTTTAGCACTAAGTTTGACAGATCACGGGGGGGGAGGGAAATCAGATCATCAACCTTCTTTTTAAAGTCAAATTGCAGCAAGAGGAGAGGTTTGCACATGAGGAAATGCCAATATACCCAAATCTGAAGGTCTAACATTCTTGAAGTATAAAATTATTTACGGGTGTCAGTATATATCAACAGAAAAATTGAGGGTTTTAGAAATTCAGTTCGCGTGGTTTTCTTCTTGCAGTAAGTACAGTTTCAGGTTTTGAGCCTTCTCCATACTGTACAATAGGACACGAACAGTTTTTGCCAACATGCAGAATTTACAAGAGAAAACTAACATCCAGAACGCCAGTGAGCACCGCTTCCCTGTGCAGAAGAACAGAAATCTCCCTCTCCTCCCACACCAGGCAGAGTCTGCAGTACCAAACTTAAAAAAAAAAAAAAAAAAAAAAAAAGTCATTCAACGTGAGCCTGTGTGCATATTTAAAATCAGCATCCGAAGAACTGTCCTTACCCAAGTGTTTTTCTATTCACCTTCCTTGATGAGAAAGAAAAAATAAACAAGCAGCAGAGAAGTCAAAACTCAAATGGAAAGTAAAATCTCTCAAAAACCTGTCTTAATCTGTTCTTCTGTGATTGATAGCAATGGTCTCCCAAACCACCTTAAGCAGCAGACCCTGGCTCTCTAGGCTGGCAGATATTATTGAAAAACCCTCATCCCTCACAAACCAAGATGTACTAAAACTTACAGCACAACCCCTACTATCTTCTGTAAAATACCATTGCCAGAGTAAAGCATGAAGATTTACAATACAATCACTTTAAGTGCCCCACAGCCAACATCAATCCTAATCCTTAAGAGGGCTAAAAATAAAGATTGGAGGGCAGCTCACAAGGTAGCTGTGATCAAATTAGGAGGCTGAAAGGACAGAGAGGGACGAAGAAGGAAGCTTATAAACATCTGATCCAGCTGACTGTGGCCATATGGCAGCTGCTGCCCAGATAAAGAGATTAAGAATAGAGGAGTGCGATTACAGCTGTCTGGCCAATTCAGGCAGCTCAAATCTACAAGTTCTAAATTAGTCGCAAATACAAAAACTCCTTCAAATAATTATTGTTATGCTGGAATAAAAGATTGCAAGTGCTACACGAGAGAGAGAAAAGAGAAAACCAGTCAAGCCATTCTCCCGGGTACAAAAGTTTTTAAACACATAAGTGATTTCTATCTTTCAGAAGCACTACAGCTGTACACTACCATGACTCTGAGCTGCAGGATATTTAACCGTGAAGTTTAATGAAAGACTTCCCCACAAACACATTTCAGCCAGAACGGTCCTGTTTTTAAAAAAGCACACTTTTGTGTATTTCACTAAAACCCCCGTAAAGTAATTCAAAAGCTGCAATACAAGAACATAAAGCAGAACTCTCTTTAGGCTTGCCCCTAAATCCAGTGCAGTTTTGGTCTCAGAAATGAAGAATTAACTTGCTCTCTTTTCCTTCCAAACCAAGACATTCTCACAATATGCATGAAAGTTAATGCTAACAACGTGCCCAAGAGCTGATACTCTCCAACTGCAGTCCAAGCCCTTTGACTAAGTCCACTCATCTATTTAATACTCAATTTCATATATTACCTCTGTACTTGGTTAGAAAAGTAATGTGATTTTTTTTCTGAAATTCAATAAACAACACACCAAAACAGAAATATGCTGTATCTAATCTATTGCTACTCCTACCTTTAGTACACATAAACCTGATTAAGTCCTTTCCTCTGAGTCTTGCTGGCTCCAGGTCTGTTAGATCGGTGGAAAAAAAGCAGACTAGGAGAGACAGATGCAAAGTGGAGATGATGTTAGAGAGGAATGAGATACCTTCTCCACACACAGATCTGCACACACTAACTCCCTGTCTGTGTGTTAGAATAAAAGGCTGAGGGATGGCAGGCTGTCAGCTGCTCTGACATCATGTTCAGATGGAAATGCTACCTCCAGCTGTGCTCCTTTTAATGCCATATGCTACTCCTCTACACTCCTGCCACCAGCTTTTTCTTAGGAGAACTTTTCTCTTCTGTTAGTATAAACAAAATACTTCAAAGTCTCTTTTTTTCAAACTTTCTAACAGGGAGGGAAAAAAAAAAAAAAAGGAAAAGAAAATCCTAAACATATGGGGCTCTACTGTATTTGCAGCATAGCAACACTTCTGCCTTAAGTTGGAGGACCGCTTTACACGCTGACAGCATACCCCAGCCACGGGGTTACCGAGAAACCCACGCCGGCTCGGTTTTACTGAGCCCAGGGGTTCA